AAGCGCGTTATATAAAGCTCTATGATTTTTTGAACTAATTTATTATATTTTCTTACGTTTTCGAATATGAAAATTCTAATTTTAGCTTGATGATAGCCATAACTGCTTATATTAAATAGAACTTAAATAGAATAGAGATCGCATGTTTGTTCGGGATACTGTAGTATTTTGTTGTTGTAAAATAGTTTGGCTTAATTCCATTATTGTTGTTTTTATAACAACAACGTTTGTTTATTTGTGGTGAAAGATGGTAATGTTTATCAGGGGATAAGGCAGGGACTACCTAGGTTTCGGAAAGAGCCACCAATCCTCCTCAGTTCCCTTGGTTTTTTGTCTGGGGATATTCTCCCCAGGAGTTATTTTAAAAATAACTCGTTTGACAAAAAACTTTTTTATCCAAGTGACGAGATCGTAAGTTCCATAGAAGAGGAACCAAAGTGAAAACAGATAATATCGGTTCACTCCATCAAGTACCTCCGCCACAGAGGGTCAAAATTTTGAATAATTTTAACTCTAATAAAATGTGGAATAATGGTCCGATTGTCTCCAAATTACACAAATCACAATATTTTTATTAACACATAGTCTGGTGTGAAGATGAAGATATATCGGCCACTCCTTCTGGTACCTCCCCACAAATGGTCAAAAAAAATCTTATAAAACGCGAAATTAACTTCTGATTCCATTCTGATTTGGTACATCTCAATATTTCCATCAACACAAGATCTGTTATGAAGATGTTAGAGATAAGACCATTTCTTCTGGTACCTCCTCCATAAGGAGTCAAATTTCTGAATGTCTATCATAGAATCGGAAATATCCATCCGGTTCTCTATAAATTTCACACATACCATTATTTTTAATAACACAAGATCTGCTGTGAAATTGGGATATATTGGCGCACTCATTCTGGTATCTCCCTCACAAAGGGTTCAAAACTCAAACAACAAAACGTTCATAAAAAGCGAAATAAGCATTCATAAGCATAAGCATCATGATGATAGATATCTACCAACCCAATACTTATATCTGTCATAACTTGTTAAAACTACATTTATCTCTTAACCAGAAACCTGAGACGAATATTGAATTTATAAGATTTTATGATTTCGCATAAAATTTGATATAAATGTTTCCTTCAAATTTTACACATACCAATATTTTTATCTGTATTTATTGAAATGGAATATTTCGGTCCGCTATATCTCGCACCTCGCCAATATTTCCACATTTCCAAAAAAATACGCATACCTCATATAAAGTATATTGAGTAGACGATATAGTCCAAATTTAGGACGTTGTGATACTTATATCAGACTTAAGTCAGATTCGTATCTGATTGGGCATTATTGGCTAACTGCTTCGGAATCTCCCCCATAAAGGGTCCACAGTTTGAATTATCATAATTCAGGGCTGTGGGTATACATCTGTCGGCAAAACCGACTGATACTACTTAACTTGTTTTATTAAAACAACAACAATGGAATTAAGCCTAACTAGCAATAACCAAATATAACTTAAATATGAATAAGTAAATAAGTTCCAAATTTTTTAAATATTTTTTTTTTCTTAAGGTAAAATAAACACATTAACCTCAGTAAAGCTTCTTTATCTCTGTAGTTAATTTTAAATACGTTGTAAACTGTAATAAACTTGAACCTATTAAACCTATTTCCCTTAATATTATTTTTTATGATTTATTAAAAGCATTTACCTTAAGAGCAATAAATTCAATTCAAACATTAGAAAAAAAATTATATGTATTCCAATCCTTTTCAAATAGTTATTTCTTAATATTATGATTTAAATCTTTTCATTTATTTTATTCTCTCAAAAATTCATTTTTATTCGCTTATCTATTTTATTTGTGTTTTTTCATGCTTCTTATTAAAATTCAATTTTACGTTAAAATCATTTTTTAAATAATTTATTCACTTCACTTATTTACTTTTCCCATCTCTGTTCTTTAACTTACCACAAATAGTACGCTTTTGCCCGTTACCCATCACACATACTGTTTATTTCTCTTAACCACATGTATTTTCTCTTTCGTGCTCTCTTTCTCTCACATTTGCCGGTAATTCGCATGCCTTGCCGATTTAAGTACATTGCTCGTTTGTCTTTCGTTGTTGTTGTTGCCATTTGTGTTTTTGTTTTCATGCCATTTTTTGTTCTTTCCATCTGTTTGTGCTTGAGTGTGAGTCGGCCCCGGCCTGTGTTGAAAAAACGATTTAGGCAACGGTCGAGGCATCGGCTCGTTGGTCTAGGGGTATGATTCTCGCTTCGGGTGCGAGAGGTCCCGGGTTCAATTCCCGGACGAGCCCAAGTAATCGCCATCTCCGGTTCTACCGGAGGGGGCGTGTGGTAATTCTTTTGTGGTTTTTGTGAACAAACAAAAAAAAATGAGGAAAGAAAAAAATTGAAAGTGAGTGAGTGGTGTTCTGGAGTTCTTCCCTTTCGTGTTGGCTTCTTCTTTAATCTGGTTGGTTAAAATGATGTTTTTGTTTTCTTGTAGTACACTTCGTTGTCATGATTTCGTTTTTTGTTGCTTATTTTAGTTGTCGTTGCCTTCGTGTTGTGTGTTTTATTCTTTTTTTTTTTTGAGTTACCGGGAGTGCTGCCACCACATTCCAATGTTTTGTTAACATGATGCCTTAAAGTATGCTTTAGTTTTTGTGGTTGGCAGTGAGGTGCTAAACTAGTTGGGGAAAAACGAATGTTTTTTTCAGCACGTCGTCAGGAAAAAGCAAGGAAAATATACACAACCTGTTTGTGACCGGTGTTTATAGTGTCCTTCTGTCTTCCTGTTGTAGTGTTTGTTGTTTTTTTCTGTTAAATCTTGTTGTTTTTATTACTGCACGTAGTGAAGCGAAAAATTTGAAATTTTGTTTGAAACTTTAGACGTTCGCCCGCTGATAATTCATTTCATCAGCTAATAATTCATTTGGTTGTTTCGTAAGAAGGGTTTCCTTTCGTAAAATGGTGTTCCATGAAGTTTTAGTTGTTTTACAATGTTCACGTCTTTCTTATCCTTTTTTTTTTTATTTTTTTTTTTCAACTCTTCGTGCCACTACCTTCTGGCCATTAATAGGACGTGTTTTATTTGCATTGGATGAATGGTAATCAGAAAATTGTTGGGAAATCTCTGTTTCCATCACTTCTTGTTTGAGACTTTTTATTTAAAGTTTTGATGTTAAACGTTTTTCTGAAAAGTTTTACATTTTAAAAACATTGTTTTACTCATTTACCAGTTGTTATCTTTTCTCCCCGAAAATAATTTATTACCAAAGTTTTAAAAATTGCTCATTTTTTAAATCACTCTTTAATTGTGATTATTTAAATGGGATTTTAATGGATATGCTGGATAAATCTTGAAATAATTTCCGTGCTAAATTTGTGTAAAATCGTAGATGTTTGAGGAATATTTTATACAATGCTTATCACTTTTTTCTATTCCTAGAATTTCATTTCGGAAAATTATTTTTTTTTTTTTTGGCGAATACGGTTTTTTAGGATTCCATTAAAAAATGAAACAATGTTTTACTAAGAATTTGTTCAAGGATAAATATAAATCATTCTATACCCTCAGCCATATGGATATCATTTGATACGGTCAAAACGTGGCTTATCGAAATCAAGATTTTAGACCTTAGGTCTCTAAATCCGTTTTAGGACATTTGGAGTCGATCAAGCGATGTCCCTCCGCCCGTCTGTCTGGCTGCTGTGCACGATAACTCTCGAAGGAAGTATCCGATTTGGTCCAAACTTGGTACATTGTAATATTATTATCAAACTTAGATCGAGTTCGGAGATAGACAATATTTGTTTATTCCTTCTGGTACCTTCCCCACAAAAGGTCTAAATTTTCAAAGAAAATAATATACTGCACAAAAAGAGAACGAATCATCCGATTTTGCTCCAACTTTGCGAATCCTAATATTTGCATCAGTGCTATGTCAGGTGCGAAAATAATTATAGCTCTTATAAAATGTGATGTAAGAGTCCGATTGTCTTCTAATGACACACATCACAATATTTTTATTAACCCAAAGCCTGGTGTAAAGATGGAATACATTCTGGTACCTCCCCCACAAAGGGTCAAAATTTTGAATATTCATGAACCTCATAAAACGCTAAATTAACATCCGATTCCCTTCAGATTAGGTACATCGTAATATTTTCACCAACACAAGATCTCTTATAAAGATGGTAGAGATCGGACAATTCCTTCTGGTACCTCCCCCACAAAGGGTCAACGTTTTGAATGAACAAAACGATCATAAAGTCCGAAATAAGCATTCGGTTCTCTTAATATTATACGAATCAGAATATTTTTATTAACTCAAGGTCTGATATGAAGATGGGATATATCCGACCACTACTTCTGGTACCTCCCCCACAAAGGATGACAACTTTGAATATCCATGAAGCTCATAGAATGTGAAATTTATATCCGATTCCATTCAAACTTGCCACATCTCAATATTTCTATCAACACAAGATCTATTGTAAAGATAGTAGAGATCGGACCATTCCTTCCGGTACTTCCCCCACAATGGATCAAAGTTCTGAATAACCAAAACGAATTTCAAATCCGAAATATTTATATCATATTTATTTCGGTCTAATACGGAGTGGACAATATTGGCCGATTCCTTCGGAACTAACTCCAAAGAGGGAAGCAATTTGAATAATCACAACAAAAGTCAAAATATGTTAAAAAAAATCGAACCTTGGCTGATTACTGCTCTGTTCCGGAACCTGCAAGAATCTATTATTTCTGCAATCGGAAGATCGGTTATCGAAGTAAAAACTTTTACATTCTAGCAGGCTGGAGTAGTCCAAATTATTTTGAAAAAAATGTTATCAATTGATTTTTAAAACTCAAATCCAAAATTTTGTGTCTATTTTCTATGAATTTTTTAAAAAATTCAAATAATCCTAGAAATATCAATTTCTGTTCTTTAACTAATTTCCCATTCTCCTTTATCTCCTTTCAGATGATGACGATGGATATAACAAAAACTGAGCCCAATGTGGGTCCCAATAACTTACAAAATACCAACAACAATCAAAGCAACAATGCCAACAGCAATAGCATAACGGCAGCGGCCAATAACAACAACAACAATGGTAGTCAGCTGTGCGCCGGCTGTGGCAAACATATACAGGACCGATATTTATTACGAGCTTTAGATATGCTGTGGCACGAGGATTGCCTGAAATGTGGCTGTTGTGATTGTCGCCTGGGTGAGGTGGGTTCAACCCTCTACACCAAAGGCAATTTAATGCTCTGCAAAAGAGATTACTTAAGGTATGTCGCCAAAGAAACCCTCTATTAATTTATAATGCTAATCCTTCTATTTTAATCAATTTCTTTTAGGTTGTTTGGCAACACTGGCTACTGTGCTGCCTGTAGTAAAGTAATACCGGCATTTGAAATGGTCATGCGAGCCCGCACTAATGTCTATCATTTGGAATGTTTTGCCTGTCAACAGTGTAATCACAGGTAAGGATAAGAAACAAATTTAACCCCAAAATATACAAATTTATTATTAGCCCCCCCATCTGAGGGATAATAAAATTTTATTTTTATTACACCCTTGAAGACAATTATCGCACAAATAACATATTGATAAAAAAAGGCAGCAAGTGTTTTTTTTGTTTAAAAAAGAATCATGTTTTATTTATTTTTATTTACCTCCAAAATTGCCAATATCTGTCGTGTAGATTACCTTAATGTTTGGGAAATCTTTTCATCTTTAACCCGTTTATTTTCGAAAAGGGTTTCCTTTAACCTTTTTTCTCTCTCGGTCGCGTAGTAAAAGATACAAAAACCCCCATTGTTTGGTTAATCTTTTATGCATTCAATACCCAAAACGACACTTGAGTTTGTTTAGGAGAGGGATGCGAATGTAAACTGGTATTTTTAAGGGGATGTAATACATTTTTATATTCCAGAGAGGGTGGGAAGTTGGGTAGTTTCTTTATTGATTCTTATATTTGTTTTAGTGTAAATAAATTTCTTTTATTTCTATTCGGGGAATTTTTGAAATATTTACAACATATTTGTATTTATTTTTTTTTTTTGAAATTAAAATGCTATGAAAAAGTGAATTTATAATTTTAGACAGAGAAATAAAAAATAAAAACCTCTCTCCACTAATAAATAAACTTTGTTTTTATAAAAAAAAAACAACAATTGTGGTATTAAGCCTAAGTATTTTGCACCAATTCAGAGAAATAATTGTATTTCCAAACACTCGATTTTTTGGTTTTATTACTTCACCATTCATGCAATAATATAGCATTTTAAATCTTAACCTAAAAAACTTGTCATTTTATCAGTCCTTAATCTCGGAAGTTGGTTGGCAACTCGTATTTGTAAGGCCTACCTAATATTAAGGCTGTTCAGATAAAATAGCAAACCTAGTAGATTCTTGCATTTGATTGCAAGCCAGCCAGACAGACGGACTGACATCGCTAGATCGACTCCAAATGTCCTGAAACGGATTTGGTCAAAAGAGACCTAGGGTCTAAAGCCGTCATTTCGAGTAGTCACGTTTTGACCGTATCAAATGCCATATGGCTGAGGGTATAACAAATCGTTGACCTCGAAATCGAAAATCGATTGCAAAAAGTAGTTTTTGCGATTTTGGCGCAGGCAAATTTAACGTCGATTTTTAGACTTTTTAAGTAAACCCTAGCTCTCTTTGGACCAAATCCGTTTCAGGACATTTGGAGTCGATCTAGCGATGCCCGTCCGTCCGTCAGCCTGGTGCGCACGATAACTCTCGAAGGGAGTATCCGATTTGGTAAAAACCTGGTACATCGTAAAATTATTGTCAAACTTAGATCGAGTGCAATATCGGCCCATTCCTTCTGGTACCTCTCGAAATTTTCAAAAAATATATTTTCTGTACAGAAAAAGAAGCGATAATCCGATTTTGCTTCAACTTTGCAAATTCTAATATTAGCGTCAGTTCTAGGTCAGGTGCGGAAATGGACAATATCGGTCCACTCCATCAAGTACCTTCCCCACAAAGTGTCAAAAGTGTGGTGTAAGATTCCGATTGTCTTCAAATTTCACACATTCCAATATTTTTATTAACCCAAGGTCTGATGCTGAGAGGGAATATATCGGTCTACTCCTTCGGGTACCTCCTCCACAAAAGATAGAAATTTTCAAAAAATATGTTTTCTGCACAGGAAGAGAAACGATAATCCGATTTTGGTCCCACTTTGCAAATCCTAATATTTGCATCAGTTCTAGGTCAGGTGCGAAAATGGACAATATCGGTCCACTCCATCAAGTACCTCCCCCACAAGGGGTCAAAATTTTGAATAATTATAACTCTTATAAAATGCGATGTAAGAGTCTGATTGTCTTCAAATTTCACACATCACAATATTTTTATTAACCCAAGGTCTGGTGTTAAGATGAAATATATCGGTCCACTCCTTCTGGTACCTCCCCCACAAAAGATCGAAATTTTCAAAAAATATATGTTCTGCACAGGAAGAGGAACGATAATCCGATTTTGCTCCAACTTTGCAAATCCTAATATTTGCGTCACTGCTAGAGCAGTTGCGAGTCCGCTCCTTCTGGTACCTCCCTCACAAATGCTCAAAATTTTGAATATCCATGAAGCTCATAAAAAGCGAAATCAACATCCGATTCCATTCCAGACATGGTATATTTAAAATATTTCCATCAACACAATATCTGTTATAAATATGGTAAAGATCGGACCATTCCTTTTGCTACCTGCTCCACATAGGGTTCAAGATTTTGAAAAACAAAACGCTCAAAGAACGCAATATAAGAATCAAACTCTCTTCAAAATTCACACATACAAATTCACAATATGTCTGCAACACCCTCTGGTACCTCACCCAAGAAGGGACACAAATTTCAATACTTTTATCTGTAATTAATTGCGAAACAAATCAGAAATGGACAATATTGGCCCATTCTTCCAAAGCCCACTCCATAGAGGGTCAAGAGTTTGAAAATTCGTAACAGAAGTCAAAATATTTTTAAATAATCGAACATTGGCTGAGGGTATACATCTGTCGGCAAAACCGACCGACACTTTTTTACGTGTTTTTTATATTCGGTTAAGACAGATTTAATATAAACGCAGCCTAACTGTACTAAATTCATTTTTTCGAGTTGACAAGTGGCCATGCAGCATTTATGAGTTGCCAACTCAAACTTAATGATTTGTTGCCCACTGATCTTAGCAATTGCATTTACTGCGTAAATTGAAGCATACTTTGAGGCGTTTTTATATTAAAACAAATCAATATTCATTGGTAATCTATAAATTTCTATTCGTTTACATGATTTGACAATATCAATAGCTTTATTAATAGTGATAATAATAAAAAATGTGTAGAGGTTTTGGAAAAAATGAAAATTTGAATTATTTGTATTCCCTGTTACCGAAAATTTAACAAATTGCAAATAATATTTACTGCCAATATCATACCAAGCTTCATTTGCTTTTCGACTTAAAACAAGGACTTACAAAGGGATTTATTTCAATTGTTCAAGTGTTCCTTTTTTCTGTTGTTTGGGTCTTTGGGTGATTTATGTTTGTTGCAAAACTGCCAGATTTCAATAGTCAACATTTAACTTATAAAACACGGGATGCCTTTAACTCCTGCTCTGCCAGCCTCAATTTACAACTTTTTGATCCATTGAAAAAATGGGTGGGTGTGTGTGTGTTTGTGTTCATGTTTATCTTTCAAAACACAATGCAAAGCGAGCGATGGAAAAAAAGACGCAAAAAAACTAAAAGTCAACCAGAAAAACAACACTTGGCAAACTCAAATAATGTTCCATGGAGGAAAATGGGAGAAATGTTCCAACGAGCACCTGTGCCCATCATGAAAACTTGCAAAGCGGAAGAGGAGCAATTTAATGGCAGCTAACACCACAAACTGGCTGGTTGAGAATCAAATAGCAAAACCGGAGAACAAAAAATAGTTACCTGCTTCTATTGACAAAAAAGAAAGCAAAGCGGGAAAAAAGTTGAAACAACAGATAAAGACTGCATTTTATCCACCAGGATTCGAATCGTTTTTCCAACAAAAAGTTACTTTTCTGAGTTGCGTTTTTTATCCCTTAAACCTGGTGTATGTGAGGTACCATTAAAAAAAATAGAAAAAAAAAAAATACGCAGCCACATGAGCAAAAATTGTTTGCGGCATAAAGCTGCGGGTGCTTCCGTTTCCCATTTTTTGGCTCCCCAAAACTTAACTTCAGGGCTGTTATACCTCATACCTTGGGTTGGAAAATTCTGATGCCTGGAGTCAATGTGTTTTACAGAAATTTCAATCAACACTTTATGATATCAATAACTGAGATATGTGGCCATTGATGATGACGGTGATGACGACGACTACAACGATGATGATGAGTAGGAAAACGTCAAGAGGACAACATCAACAGGAAATTATGAAAAACACCACAAATGTCAATGCGGAAAAAAGCAACAATCTCATGGTCTTGTTACAATTTTTATTTTTTGGTTTTCTTCTTTTTTTTGGCCTTTTTTGTGTTGGCCATAATAAACACAAACGTCACATTTCCGCTCGACATATTTTACATACCATACAAAAAAGTCCACTGTCCTCCATCCGCCACTGGGAGGTCGTTTACACATTTGCATACAACATGTAAACATTTAATGCCATCAGGCTGACTGGATGGCTGGCTGGCAGTCAGCAGCTCCTGGTCCATTCTGATCACCAGGTGCTTTGGCTTACATAGGTATTTACGTATGTTGCTGGCATAAATCTCAGCAAATGGCCGTTGGGGTGACATGGGGGAGGGCAAGCTTCAATGATTTTTTGGCAATTGAATTAATTTTTTAAAAATTGATTAGTTCTCCAGCGGAGAAAACAATGGAATGGAGGAAATGCAAGTTGATATTTATTTGCATATTCCAACATTTAAAATACACACACACATGTGGAAATACACACGTTGTTGGTGACTTTTTTTAAATGTCTACAGTTTCGTGGCTTGCTGCGGCTTTGGCCAGCCATTGGCCACCAATTCGCATTTTCTTTTTATTTTTCCACCATTGATTTTTATTTTTGCGAAACAAATATCTTAAATATGCATATGCATATTGTATGCATCCATGCCGAGCTTTTAAATGCATTTTTAATTAGACAACATTCGTCAATGCACGAAAAGCAAAAATATAAAATCATTTTTTCCAACATTTACAAGGCCATAAAGTCAATACTCTTTGGAAAAAATAACTGCATTCATATTATTTTTCATTGGCAGTTACAACAATTGGCCGGCCATGTAAACACTTCAGGAAATTCAATATTCTTATAAATTTTATATATTCGATAACATATTGAATATAACTCATTCATTGCGGATTTTTTTAAAATTCAGTACAGAAACTGGAGGGCCTAGAGGCGAATAGGAAGTAGATGTCATTGTTTTATATGACATACGGGAATGGCATTGTTATATTTTTGAAGAAAAAAATATATATCGAAATAAGTCTGCGGTGAAAGAATACAAGATCTAATATCACGTTTACATTGTACATATGTGATTTATATGTTTCAGTAATTATAGTACACATTTTTTTTTTTAATTGTCAATTTAACAAATATCAATATTTTGCAAAGAAAAATGTAAAATATAAACAGACGACATGCCTGTAGAAACCTGCAAGCGATCAGCTGATTTGTCAAAATAAAACAATTTTTCCGCCATAAAAGCGAGCAAACGAGCTAAAACTGGAATAATCTTCCATCTTGAAATTCGTTCCTGATTTCGACAATAAAAAAAGTTCTCAAACTGATTGCACAAGAATAAATCAGAACTCTAATGGTAACAGACGACGACTTTCAGTCACAATTTACTATTTTTGAAATGTCTTGGCATGGTAGAAGAATATAGGTAGACGCATCGACACAACTGCTGTCAAACTAATTTTGGAATTTAAAATGTAGGACGAAAAATTATTTAAATTTGAAGATATTATTGAAAAACGCGTATTATAATAACCTGCGAATGACGTCATATAAGAAAACATATAAAAATCTACTTATGTTTGAAAAGACATTTAAAATTTTTTGACATGTCAATGTTCCCAAGTGTTGATGCATCTATTCTCATCGTTTTTTTTTCCAAAAAATCTGTCCTCCAATCGTGAATAATTGAGGATAAATAATTACGAAGATGGCAACGCGAGCGAGTTTTTTTTCTTACCTTGTGTACCCTATTTGTTGTGCAATTAGTGTTTTGTTTACAAAAATTAAGCAACGTGAACTAACTAATTTCCAATGTTAGAATTCGTGTTTGATACTGACAAGTCTAAGGAGCACATAGAAGTTTGAAAATATGATTGTGAACGACTAGTTTCAGCATTCTTGATTGGTTGCTTTATCATACCCTCAATTGATACGGGCAAAACGTGCCTCATCGAAATAACGGTTTAAGACCCCAGGTCTCTTTTGACCAAATCCGTTTCAGGACATTTGGAGTCGATATATGATATGTCCGTCCGTCGGTCTGTCTAGATGGCTGGTGCGCACGATAACTCTGGAAGGGAGTATCCGATTTCGTCCAAACTTGGCATATCGTAATATTATCTAATAATATCAATATCGGTCGCCTCCTTCTGGTACCTTCCCCACAAAAGGTCGAAATTAAAAAAAATATTTTACTGCACAGAAAGGAAAGGATAGTCCGATTTTGTTCCAACTTTGCAAATCCTAATGGAGGTATGATATTTGAGTGGATGATTCTGAAGGATTGTCATCTAAATGTTGACATATTTGCTTCTTTTCAATTATCTTAATTTCTGTGTTAATTTCTTCTTTTAAAGAGGACAAGAAAAGAATATACCTCGTTATTGGACTAGTTTGCAGTAATTTCATCCCACGTCTTTAAATTAGGTACACTCATTTGTTCCGCGTTACCAATGCATTGTTGGTACCGTTGATTTCTTTTGCCACAACCGGAAGTTGCCATCAGTATAACAATGGCGCTGATGATGGCGTAGATATAAAATGCAAGCACCTTCATCAGAGTTGACTTTTTCGATTTCCTTTGCAGAAAAAACAACTGGGGACATTTTTTAATATAATAACAAGTTATTTTTTTTTTATTTTTTAAGTATTGAAAAAGAAATACAAAAAAACACCAATTTTACATTTAAATGCATTTGCTTAAAAACAAGAAAAAACAAGTTTTTCCGGCAACCGGAAATTTAAGCATTTTTAAATATGTTTCCATGTAACTCATGTCTCTGTCTCTTCTCTTTTTTTCTTTCATTACAGATTCTGTGTTGGTGACCGTTTCTATTTGTGCGAAAACAAAATACTCTGCGAGTATGATTACGAAGAACGTCTGGTCTTTGCCTCGATGGCAAATCATCCTATGCTGAAGCGTCATGTCAACTCCATTGCCCAGGACTCGCCGACTGGGGCTGGGGGTGGTGCGGCTGGCGCTGGCCCCGGTGGTATGATGGGTGCCGGCGGTGCCAATGGTCCTCGAACACCGGGCGATTTGAACAACAATGGACCGCAAACAGGTCCGGGCAATTCGCCCTTTGGTGCCGGTGCTGGAGCTCATATGAAAAATTCATTAGGGGCTTCAAGCTAAAATATAACGACTTCCATGGGCCACAACCATAGACGGCATTATTGGATGAATCGTGGACATTACCAAAGAAAATTTTAGAGCAAGAATGACAAAGAAGAAGTAGAGAATGGAAGAAAGATGAAATGATTTTAAGCCCAGCGCAGCCCCTCCATATGTGTATGTGTGTGTGTATGTAAGAGAGAGTGTGCGTATGCAGAATTTTCGTTTGAATGTTACATGTGAGTGTGTGTGAGATGCAAACACGTAAATAATGGAATTTAAATATGGAAAAACAAAAATGAATTTTGAATTTCTGTTTTCAATTTTTGTTCTCTTTTGCAACGAAGTATAGAAAAAAAAAAAAACAAATGTCATTGCATGTATCCTTTATTTTGTATTATTTTTCAAGATTACCCAATGATTCTAGGATATAATATGTATTGATGTATGTAATGTGTAATATCTTGAAAATAATTTGTGATTTTTTTTTGGTTTTGTAAATTTATTTCTTTGAAAAAAAATGTATTTTGTTCTGACAATTACTCCAAAAAAAAAATCCTTTGGACAATACTCGAATTTCTTAATTTTTTTTTGTTAATGAAATGTGCAATTCTATTTCGAAAAAAAAATTGTCTTTCGATTTAGAAATAAAACAAAATGTTGTGCCAAAAGATTTACTCCTTTTCCCTGAATAAAGAATGGGAACCTAAAAAGGAGAGCATTCGATAGAAGAATGAAAATAATTATTTTTCATTTAAAACATGATTTTGCAAAAATTATTTTTTTTTGTTTTGTATATGCATACAGTTCTATGTTAAATATTCAAATTTGGTCATAATTTGCTGTGTACAGGGTGAGATAAAAAAGAACTGCAACAAAGTCAAACTCCATAATTTTTACATTTTTTTTCTTTCAATTTTATTGGATGTAAGCAAAAAATGTCGGAAATAGCATCAAATTTTAGAATAAGTTTAGATTTGTTCGAATTGGTCACCTTCGACACGAATTATGGCCTTCAAACGGGCATTGAAACTGTCACACGCTGCCCGAATGTTGCTTTGCGGTATTTGGGCCATTCCCGGCCAAGCGCTTGCTTGAGGTGATCGACACTTTAGTATTTTGTAGTGCCAACCTTGCTTTCGAAAATACTCCAGACACAATAGCCCAACGGATTGGTATCTGGAGATTTTAGTGGCCATTATGCGCTGGAAATGAAGCGAGGAACCTCATTTTGTAACCATCCTTGGGTGGTGCGTGCTGAGTGATGGCGATGGTGCTGAGTCCTGTTGGAATGCCCTAGGTCTACGGTCAAAATGTTTGCGTGCCCAAGCCTTTATACACCCTCCAGAATATTTTCGCGAGAATATTCGTCATTTATTCTGATGCCATGGTCAATTAATACGAGCGGAGAGCGACCATCGGCTATTACGGCGGCCCACACCATCACCATGTCGGCGGCGCTTGAGTTCTGGTGGCCAACCGAAGGTGCATATTTTCAGCTGACCTCTTTGGCAAGTAAACACGATCATTTTGTTTGTTTACAAACTGCTAGACAACGAATGTTTTCTCATTGGAGAAAACTAAATTCGGCAGTTCACCACTTTTGGCCAAGCGAAGCAACTCTTTAGCTCTTTTGAGTCTATTTTCTTTCCGATGCTGTGTAAGTTCTTGCACTTTTTGCAATTTCAATAGCTTTACCCCGAGCTTGTTTTTCAATATTTGCCGAAGATGATTTTTAAAAATTATGAACCCTGGTAGAGTTGCCAAATATTTTTATCTTCAATTCCTCTTTAACATAAAACTGTATGCCTTACAAATTCAAAATGTATTTTCCATCCATAATTTTTTTCTCTCCCCCTCTCCCCATAAAAGTCATTCTCCCACCGATATGCTTTGTACATTTCCCCACAATTTGATGGTAATTTTCTTTTATTTACCAATTTTTTTTTTTTTGTAAACAAAACCCCCTGTAAAATAATGTTTATATAGTTTATATATTTTGTAATTAAGTTTTGTTATAATTTTGTTAATTCTTAAAAACAAAAGACTTGTAAATTATTATTATTTTATGTTAAATTAAAAAAAAATAATACTATGTATGTGTAAGTTATAATTTATAAAAAGAAAAAAAACAACAATTTTCGTACTTCCCCAGAAAAGAAAGAAAAACATCGTGAACTTGTAAATAGTTTAATTTAATTTATTATATAACATACAACTTATAATAAAACAGAAATTAAGAAAAAAATCCAACTGCCCTTGGCAGTAAAACTAAAAAAAAATAAATTTTGCTCAAAAAAATACTGTATTTTTTATAATGTATAATTTATAATTTTAGAAAATTTGTTCTGCTAACTATAAATAATTTTAAAAAAGGAAACGAATAAGAAAAAAAAAAACAACAAAAAATAATAAAAAAAATACTACGATCTGATTGTTGATTATTTCCTAAGTTTAGTTTAGTGTGAGGCTAATTTGTGAAAAAAGTCATTAAAACATTATTCTATTGAAACCTTTTTAAGAAAACCCCACCCCCCAAAAAAATATTCTCTCATAAGTTATGTTAAAAAAATTTAGGAAGTAATATGGCAGGCAAACCATTTTCGCATAGAAAAGCCTATTATTCCATACTTAGTCATCTCCATCTTAAGTTTTTGTTTTGTTTCCGTATCTATCTCTCTCTCTCCCTTTCTCCTCATTATTAAAATATTACAAAACAAATAATCATTAAAAATTAAATTAAATTACAAAATAGTGAAAATATGTCTTACACAAAAATATATATATACAAAATATACCATATGCCGTATTTAAATATCACATAAAAATGTGCTCCCATCCTTGTCCACCCCCAACCCCCATCCATAACATTTTAATTGATAAGCCACAAAAAGAAAAAAAGAGAAACGCTCAAATAGCAGTAAACGAAGCAGAAATAAGAACAACAACCAAAGTTATTAAATTAAAAAAAAGAAGAAGAAAAAATTAATAATTGTATGTGTCATTGATTTCTTTTCTAAATCAATCTACAAAAGAAAAAAAAACAAACAAAATTCAATCATTGATTGCAAGGACATAATTTTTATTATCATCGCAGAAGAGATCCGAAGAAGAGATGAATACAAAAGACAAAATGTCATAACATACATAGAATAATACTTGTCAAAATAAATCAAAATATTGTATTACATTCTTACAACAACAACAACAAAAAAACAAAACCAGCAACAAAGGAATACAAACTGAAATACGAAAATATGAAAGAATTTAAAAATTACAAAAAGAAAAAAAAACAAATGAAAAGAAAAAAAAAAAACAAACAATTCAACAAAATAATATAAAAATAAAATAAAAATTATTCTAGAAAATTTAATTCATTGTGTTTTATTTGAAATCAAGTAAAATAGGAAATATTGCAGCAATTAATTAAAAAAAAAAATGAATAATAAAATAAAAACATAAATCAAATACAAGGTGGCGCAAAATCAATCCTCTAATCAGAAGATGCAATACATATTACGATTGGCCCCTATAATAAATATTTCGAGGAGTTCCAAACGGAATGACAGAGCTAATATACAGTGGCATCTCCGTCACCGTCGCTAACAAATAAGACGAGAGATGGTAACTCTGACAAGAGGCAACAAAGAAAAAAGCAAAAGTTACCCTGCAAGACTTTTTTCAACTAGTTGAGAAAATCGTTAGTTATAAATTCTACAACCAACAACAAATTAGTTGAAAAGTCATCTGGAGATCAAAAAGCAAAGTAACCACTACTGGTTGATATTCAGATGACTTTTCAACTAATTTGAAGTTAGTTGTAGAATAATGCATTTACTAACTTACCAGCGGGGCATTTTTCAACCAGTTGAGAAAATCGTTAGTTATAAATGCATTATTCTACAACTAACTTCAAATTGGTTGAAAAGTCATCTGGATATCAACCACTTCAAACACCAAAACGAAAATAAATTGCAAAAACAAAACACATATAAGTTCTCTAGAGAAAAAAGCAGCCCTAAAAAGCAAAGATGATTGGTTATATCAAACTATAGTTGCTCATGAAATCTTCAACACCACAGTTGTGGCAAACCGACCTTGTTGAAATTGAATTCCTTTTATTGTTTTTTGAACTAATATTAAATAAAATAGTTATTAAAGAGTTGTTGAGATAACCGATGTGTTTTTATTCTTAAACTACCCCAATAAGTATAATACCATCCATAGAATAAAAACTAGAACAAAATCAATAAGTACAGCTTACGAAGTTCAAATACCGAATTTTTAGTAATTTCTAATATGGGTATGCATGGCTAGAAACTGATGCTAAAATCATCAAAATACAGAATATGGAAAGATACAATTATATGGGGGCTATACGAAACCGTAGACCGATATAGCTCATCTTCGAACTTGACTTGCCTGCAGACAAAATACAACTTGATGCTAAATCTTAGCTTTCTATGACATGCTATTGGGTCTATTGAGTGATTACAACAGACAGACAGGGCTAAATAAACTTTTTACGACCTAAATTATTATTTCGATGAGCTATTGAGTTACCTTACTATGTATGGTAAAGGGTAACTACTAAATAAAATAATAAAAAAAGATAAAAAAAGTAGCTAAGTTCGGCCGGGACGAACTTTTAATGCCCTCCACCATTTTGAAGGATCTTAAGCAAATTAAAAAAAAAAAAACCGTTACTCCCATTATGAGGATTTATTTGATGTATATGCAATTGAATTGGAAATTTAAGCCCTCCCACTATTCTGATTCTTTAGGTTTTTACCCCACTTGTTTAAATACATAAACCAACATTTTATTACGTAGAATAAATAAACTGAAAAATTACAATTGTGGGAACTCACCTTCATTAATATGCCTTGCAAAAAAATACTCTCGCTCATCTCTCATTCTCATGCACTCACGACGACTCGCACACGAACTCTCACACAGATGAACAGCGGCCAATAAAGGAAGATATTTCTTGTAAATTTTTTCATTTTTTCCGCTATTAATAAAAATGTCTTTGGAAAAATAAACTGCAATGTTTAAGAGTCATATTTTGACCAAAATAATAACACAATATCATATTAATTTTGTCATTAAATATGGAATAATCTAAAGGGAAATATAAAATAACTAATGAGAATAGCACTCTCTAAAAGAAAACAAAACATCAGGTGACATTATTGCCATGATTTTTAATAAGAAAGATAGAATATTAGGAAAGAATATAAAAATATCTGTTCAGCAATAGTGAAAATGCAGAACCGAAATTTCTATATTATTTTCAATCAGTAGCGCGCAATTCTCTAACTACTGTAGTTAAAGATATTTACAGATAAAAACAATTTTTTAATGAAATTTGTTAGTGAGTTAGCGGCGAAATAAAATTAGTCGCTAAGACCTACCAATGGATAGCAAGTGCTCTGTTCCCGAATTTGCAAGAAATTTAATTAAACGTTAATTCTTTTCCCTTGGAGAATGATATAAAATCATATTCGCTTTAATTATTGGACCGCTCACGTAAATATCCAATCTACTGATTATAACATAATACCCATGATAAAATGATATATGTAGGCGCATCAATACAGCTGTTGGTACAGTAAGCTGTTAAATAATTTTGAAAATTCTAAATTTTGAATGAAAAATTATTTGATTATCATCCTGTATTTTTCTATCATGATAATACCATAATAGTCCAAAAACTTTTGCAGTTAAATGGCTACCCACATCATAATGATCAGTTGAAAAGCATGGCAATACTATCTTCTTCTCCTTTTTGTTATGTTTTGGAGAATGTCGTTTCTAATTAGTTATTTTCTATTTCTCATCGGGTTCGGTCGGTCGTGAAGTTGTTCCAATTATTTACAAATTTAATTACAACCAAAGTGATATTGTGTTGACAATTTTGTGAAAACGTAACATTTAAACATTGCAGTATGGTTTTCCGAAGATATTTGCATCAAATTGATTGTGGATTGTCGAAAAAAATGAATGCAAATTTGTGAAAAAATTTCTTCCTTTATGTGTTGCCGTTCGATAATGTGTACGTTCGTATATTGTGCGAGAGTTCGTGTGCGCGTCGTTGCCGTCGTCATCGTGAGTGCGCGAGTATTTGATTACGTTGTTGATCGAATAGATGGTAGGAGAGCAATGGTTTGGCAGAAAAGTCATTGCAAGAAATATTAATGAAGGTAATGCTCAATGTTATAATTTTTCTGTTTATAAAATTGGACGATTGGAGAAGAAATCTTTGGAATTTTACTTCCTTAGATTTCAGTCACCAACCAAAAGAAGGATTGATTTCCGGGACCAATAGGTATTTTAATGAAATGAATGGTATATTTAGGAAAATATGTGGAAATTTTAATATTTCATTAATGAATTATTTAGTATTTGTGTGATTCATTATAGATGATAAAAATAATGAAACATAAATTCTTAAGAGAATATTAAAATAACTTCTCTGTGTCGAATTTTTATTTATTAAATATTTTTCAAAAAAAAAAAAAAAAAAAACTTTCAATGTGAATAAAATCAAATGTAATGCATTTTTAAAGTTTCTGCAAAGAAACTGCAAAAAGTCGCTGATCGTCGCAATTATTAATTTTGAATTAAACGAGTTAAAAAGTATCAGTCGACAGATGTTTAACCCTAGCCAATGTTCGATGACCAGAAAGAGTGAACCGATATATTCACACCAGATATTGTGTTGATAGACATATTGAGGTTTGTCTCTTATTTCACATTTGTTACGAGTTATAATTATTTCAAATGTTGACTCTTTGTTGGGGAGGTACTTGATGGATTAATCCGACACTGTCCATTTAGCACCTGGCCTAGCACTAACGAAAATATTGGGATTTGCAAAGTTTGCAGAAAATCTAATGATCCTTCTCTTTCTATGAATTTAATTATTTTTTTTTTTTTTTGAAAATTTTGACCTTTTGTTGGGTGTTCATCACTGATCTCGATCTAAGTTTGAATTAATATTACCATATACCGAGTTTGGACTAAAGCGAAGACTCTCCTGTCCTGAAACGAATTGTCCTGAAAAATATGGTTTAAACCGTTATTTCAATGAGACACGTCTTAAGCCATGTGGCACTTTTAAACATTTTTCATTTTCAAATTATAAGGTTTTCAACATTCAGCTTACTCCCGTAAATATAATTTTGTACCAAAATTATCTAAAAACGAAAACTTTTGGGGTTAAATAGCTTCCCACATTGTAATGATCAGTTCAAAAGCATGGCAATACTATCTTTTTTTCCTTTTTGTTATGTTTTGGAGAGTGTTGTTTCTAATTAGTTATTTTCTATTTCTCATCGGGTATGGTCAGTCGTGAAATTGTTCCAATTTATTTACAAATTTAATTACAACTAACGTGATAATGTGTTGTTAATTTTGTGAAAATGTAACATTTGAACATCGAAGTGTGGTTTTCCAAAGATATTTGCATCAAATTGATTGTGGATGGTCGAAAAAATGAAAGCAAATTTGTGAATAAATTTCTTCCTTTATGTGTTGCCGTTCGATATGTGTACGTTCGTATATTGTGCGGGAGTTCGTGTGCGCGTCGTTGTCGTCGTCATCGTGAGTGCGCGAGTATTTGTTTACGTTGTTGATCGAATAGATGGAATATGCAAGGAATATTAATGAAGGTAATGCTCATTGATGTAATTTTTCTGTATAAATTATTAACCCTTTCAGTGTTTTTGTCAAATATATTTGACATTTAAAAGTACTCTCTTTCTTTGCCATTT